CGCGGCCCTAACAGCCATCTGTAATCCTCAAAGTAGCAGGAGCAGGTGCTGACACCTTTCCTATAGAAGCTAAACTCGGATACTAGGACTTTTTATGTCCCCTCTGATTGCAATGGAAGCAAATCAGATCTGATGCCGCAACGGCGGTAGTAGTGCTGTACAATCTCTGCTTATATGCCCAGTCCAACCATACTTGTAGCAGCCGACACTCCCTGCCTTGCACGCCCCATCGTGCAATCTCCCACACTTGCCACACCAAGCGTGGCTCTACTGACTCCTAGCTCTGTGATCTGAACCCTTGGGCTTTTTCCCGCACTCCCTGTACCTGGAGCCGCCTCTGGCTTCCTCTTTCTCTCTATCTCAAGGTTAATCTCTCTCTCTCTCTCTCTCGCCCTAGCAATCATGTCATCCAGCATTTTACAGCTCGACCGGATCACAAATTGGTGGATATCACTCCGCAGCATCTCATGATAACGAGCCTTCTTCATTTCCTCATCAACCGCGTACTGAGGAAGAAGAAGAGCCCTCTCCCTGAACTTGGCGTTAATCTCCGCCACTATCTCGGTAGTCTAGGTAAGATCCTGAAACTCTCTGGCTAACTATTGCACCTCAATAACCGGTGCAAACTCAGCTCTGAACCTGATAGTAAAATCAGTCCAGGTCATAGCATCCAAAGTTGTGTCGTCTCCAATGGCATGACCAACCTCCTCCCACCAATCCCATGCCCTGTCCTTCAAAAGACAGGACGCCAATCTGACCTTGTCCCCCTCGGGACATCTGCTAGTACAGAAAGCGTTGGCCACATCTGCCAACCATCTGGTGCTCGCTATGGGGTCCCGCGCCCCGTGATAATCCGGAGCTCCGCATGCCTAGAACTCCCTAAAAGTAAGTGTGCGCGACCCCATCATGGCCGCCACCTCAGCACGGAAGGTGCTTAACCTCTCATCCATCAACTCTAAGATACCCTCCTTGATCAAACCAAAGATCACATGAGTCTGCTCAAGTATGGTGTGAGTAATCTCTGAAGAGAGAAACTCCCTAGTCTGCTCATCCAACTGCCCAGCCTCCCGGCCTGATCCTGATCCCCCTCTGGCACCTGAACTGCCGACTGCTGGTCTAGGGCGTAATACCACTATTCTGAAACACAACATAATAAACATCAGGAACACTGATATATCTCAAGGAATCACTACTACCACAAGTTTCCTGGTCTCATCTCAGCTTTCCTTGATTCGAGTACGGATCCTCTACTTTCAGTAGTACGGGCCCAAACTACCTTCCACATCTATCCGTACTTTCCTTAAGTACTGCCTTGACTCCACCAAGTCACTATTACTGCTAATAATCTCTGCTACTCCCATCCTAGGCTTTCCCTAGAGAAATCTCTGACTATACCCGATCTAGTCCTCAGCTGCTGAAAGCCTCCTTGTGATGCCAATTAGCCATCACCTGAATACCATCACATGCGGCAAGGCTCAGATAATCCTTCAAGTAAAAGACTCGTCCCTACAACGGTGAGACTCAAACAAGAGCTACGCAATAGGGCCAAGTCTAGCACTCTGAGACTATTCAACCATGTTCACATGTGACGTGACGTATTCACCTAATGGCTAACTCCCATCACTCAGAGTCCCACAAAGCACAAAGCAAGCAGAATTCAGACACAGGAGACTACTCAAGCAATTCTATCCTCTTAACCAGAAACTGTACTAGCATACAATGCTAAGCTCATACTATCAGGCATAACCTAAACATGCTATCGTTCTACTGACTACTAAATGCTAGCATGCAATTCTTATAAAGCTGAAACACATAAAGCAGGCATATAAGGCATCCTCCTAGATCCTTAGTCCTATACTAGCATGTTGTTCTACTGAAACTGAAACTGAAACTCAACATTAACTGATACATACTGTTGTATGGGTAATTTGGGAGTACTTACATGAGCTCGGCTGATCGCATGCACCACACCCTTTTCTCTTTTCAAAGTTCTTTTCTTTCTAAAATTCTTTTTTCTTTTCTAAAAGTCTTTTCTTTCGAAAAACATTTTACCACTTCCTTAGTTTGAGTTCAGACACACCCAGAAGTGTGCCCGAATCCCTCAAACCAAGGCTATGATACCAACTTGAAACATCCCAAAAATACGACCAAAAAAATTTGTTTTTAAATAATAATAAAAGTCATAAAACTGAATCTCATATAATAAAAACCATACTTCGGGTATCTCAAAATCCATAATAAAAGTGTCGTATCAAAAACTGTATCAAATCATATCTAAGTATCTGAACAAAACTCCCAGGAATAAAGCTGAAGCTGTGGTGTGTGCGATGCCATCATCCCGAGCTCTTCCCTTCACTTACGAAAGTACCTGAAACCAAAACTGAAACTGTAAGCACAAAGCTTAGTGAGCTCCCCCAAACTACCACATACCATACAATAACATATAAACACATACTATGCCTTTCCCACTGCATCGGACCGAAGTACATAACTAACCAGGGCCTTGCCCTCTGCATCGAACATCAACTCACTGAGTCCTCCTCACACTCACTGGTTCCACCCACATAACTCAACAGGGGAAACTTCGGGGACTCGCGACTCGACTCGCCGAGTCCGAAGAATGACTCGCCGAGTCGCATGCATGCACTTACTATTCAGAAGATTCTACTCAAAACCAACGCATCCAACTGATTGATTTGGGTTCCTAAGGCTTGGTTTGCACCTAAAGGTTCCATCTTTACGTGCACATAGACTCCTAAAGAGGTTTATAGGCTTAAAATGCATGAATCATGTTAGATCTAGGGCTTATATTCAACAAGGTTCAAACAAGGTATTAGATCTGTGTTTTGGAATAGAAATATGATTAGATCCGAAAGCTATACCACTACACAAGCTCCTTTACTATATTAAGCTCATAAATAGGCAAAAAGGTAACCTAAATGAGATTTCTAAAGAGAAACAACCAAGGAACAAAAAGAGTCCAATTAATACCTCAAATGACTCTGAAATGGATGCAAGATCTTGTTTCCCTTCTTCTCCTTTGGATCTAGCCTTCCTCTTCTCTTCCAATCTTCAATCTTTACAGAAAATGCCCAAAAACACTCAAGATAGGTTAAGGTGTTGCTATGAAACGTTCTGAGGGTGAAGGAGGCCAGATTGGGTGCATAAGGGGGATTATATAGGGTGCAAAACCCGTGGATCTAGGGTTTCTTCCAAACTAGCGGACTCTCCGAGTCTAGGATATGGACTCGTCGAGTCGCCCACTTTCACATGCTCGAAATCCCGTCTCTACTTGACGAGTCGGGCAACAGACTCGTTGAGTCCCTCATGAAAAACTTGGAAAAATAAACATTTAAATAACATACAAGAAATGGGGACGTTACATCAATTATAGTTATGGGCTTAGACACCTAATCCAACAATTGTATCTTGTTCAGAAGCACAAAAATGTCACAAAATCAGTGCATTTTGGAGTTTTTAGGCTCCGAGTTAGATTTAGGGACTTTAGCATGGGCTTTGGACTTGATTTGTGATTTCTGAGCAGCTGGTATCTGGGAAGGCTTTTTCCGAGAATCTTTTGAAAAGATGCAGAATGTCAAGGTCTTTTTATTTATCCAAAAGTCATACTCAACCATTAGTTGTTTGGGGATTACTTCCCTTAAAGGATCAGTTTTCCGAGTTTCTAGAAGAACTGTGTTCACAAGTGTTTCAGTTTTGTTTTCATACTTTTTTCACTTTCCATTCAAACTTCTATTTTAAGTCTTTATAAGGTTTCTTAGCCACCGTGTTCTAATCATCTTTTCCTTTGTTTGTTGCAATCGAAGGAACATTGGATTTTGGAGGTTGTTTAGGTTTATAAATCGTGCCATTCGAGGTAGCAATAAACCTAGAAGAAGAAACTATCCGAGGAGAGTTGGTTTTGTTAGATGAGGTCTAAGTAGTTACATTTTAACTGAACAATTGACAGTGTTCCCTTATCATATTCGAGCCTTTATTGAACCATTGTGGGGAGTTTAGACTATCTTACTGTTACTAAGCCAGATATTGTTCACGCAGTTCATATAGTTAGCCAGTTTGTTACTACTCCTTCTACGGTTCATTAGGTATTTGTCTTCGTATTTTGAGATATATTCCTGGTACTCAATTTCGCAGTCTGGTATTTCCTTCTACTTCCTCTCTTGAGTCGCATGCCTATAGTGATGTTGAGTGGGATAACAATGTTTATGGTTGTAACATCCCCAATTTCAAGACCAAAAATTTTGTTTTTAATTATGTTACTTATAAAACAATGTACTGAAAAACATCATCTGATAAAATGTGGGTAATATTCTTTATTATATTGTTGTTTATCCTTTGTTGTTGAATTCTTGGGTCAATGTTTCAACGTAAACGAAGGAAAGGTTCTGCTTCTGTTCTTTCTGTTTCAAGACGCTCACGTAGAATTTTTGCTATAGTGCATGTTCCCATATTGCATGTGTATTACGATTGTGGCAATTGTTCTTGTATTTGCGAATTTTGTGGTGCCATGTTTTGGTAAAATGAGAGGGTTTTGTATCTGTCACGGGTTGATAATCTTCGGTACACCAAGTGTTGTAAGTCTGACACTATTGTTCTTCCTCCCCCACTGTCTCCGCCGGTTGTGTTATCACAAATTTTCAAGGATGGTCACTTTCTACATAATATAAGGGCTTATAACTCCATGTTTTCTATGACATCTTTTGGTGCAAAAGTTGATGATGAAATTAACAAAGGTCGTGGTCCATATGTGTTCAAGATTTCAGGTCAAATTTTCCATAGGATTGGTTCTTTTGTTCAGAAGATTCTTCACAACCACATTTTTTACAGTTGTACATGTGCGATGATGAGAATGAAATATCTAATAGACTACGTTATTTCTGTACGAACGGTGATGTAGTGTTATCTGCGGATGTCGTTAGTTCTTTGAGTCTTATGTTGGATACTCACAATGAGTACGTCGTACCTTTAAAACAACAAGGGATATGGTTGAATCTATGTGTTTAGATTCATATGGTGTATGCCTCTTCAATAATGTTCCTGACAGAAGATATGGACCCCTTGCTCCGGGGACGTTGGGTTGTATTGTCTGTGGAGATGATGTCACTGGTGCTGTTTATGATATTGTTATTTATTCCAAGTCTGGATTACCTCAACGAGTTAGTAAGTTACATCCAACATACATGTCTCTACAATATCCTTTGTTATTCCCTTACGATGAGGATGGGTGGTCACCTAAAATGTGTATATGTGGTGGTTATGCATCTGAATATAGAAGTTTAACTAATAACATGTATTACAGCTACCAAATTCACGAGCGGAGGGGTGTCTATTCTCTGATTTTACATGTACAACGTTTGTTTCAACAATATTTAGCGGATGCTTATACATGCATTGAGCAGTCTAGGCTTGATTACATAGAGCATCATCAAGAGCAGTTAAGGTCTGAGTACATTAGTGGTGTTTACGACGCCTTATCTCGAGGACACATAAACAGCCATGTGATCGGTAAGCGTGTATTTTTGCCTGCTTCATTCATTGGTGGCCTTAAGTATATGTACAAACACTATCAAGACGCTTTAGCTATATGTAGAGTTCATGGAAAGCCTTAGGTATTTCATCACATTTACTTGTAATGTGAGATGGACTGAATATAGGAGGTATATGGATGTTGTTGGGCAAGGTGATATCCAAAATAGACCAAACACTATAGCTCGGGTCTTTCACATAAAAGTCCATGCTTTGATAACCTTTCTTGAAGAGGATAAGATTTTCGGCGATGTCGAATCATGTAAGTTATATTCATTGTATTTGTCATTCGGGTATTTGGTTGTTTTAATGGCATATCAACTTTCCGGTCGCAATGTTTCCATTAATATTTCTTTCACTTGATCTAGTTTTCATTATAAAATAACGTAAAATTATAAAATCATTGGTGAACAGCAATTGTACAAATAGTAAATAATGTGGTCATTGTGATGTTAATTATTGAGAACATCATATGTGTTCACAAAATATGAATTTTCATAAAATATTAAATTACCTTTATCTCCTCAAAGTAGACCCATCATTGAATGTTTGTATAGTGCCTTTTGTAAATAAAATTATGTCATTTTTTTAGTTTATTAGTAATTGTCCTCATTAATAACCTAAAACTTGTCACTTTTTCTTATAATGGTATAAAAAGAGAAATTGCTTTTTTTTTCTTTCTCTTTTTCATAAAACAAAAAACATAAAATATGTTTGTCTATAACTATAACACTATATTTCTATTTATTTAAATTATATATTTATGAATTATGATTTATTTTTAAATGACTTTTATGTCCCTCAAATTAGATCCTACAGCGAACGTGTTCATGACACCTGTATGAACTAATTTATGTAAATTTATATTCATGTATTTTGTAATTGTACATCACAAAAAACATATTACATTAGATCATTCCATTCCTTTAAATGAATTGTTGTTTCATTTACTTTCCTTAATATTTTCCTTTATTTCCATTTTACCAAATACATCCTTTATTTGTGTGTAGATCTATACACAATTGAATTTCAGAAGAGAGGTCTACCATATTGTCATACACTTTTATGGGTTACTCCACCTTTTAGAATATGAGAAGCTGGTGATGTTGACAGGTACATAACAACTAAATTGCCAGATCCTGCAAGTGAAGCGGACTTGTACAGAACAGTCACCACATGCATGCTACATGGTCCATGTGCTTTACTCAATATACGTGCTCCTTGTATGCAATATATGAAGTGCACAAAACAATTTCCAAAACCATTTGTGGATACAACTACTTTTGATGAGAATGGCTATATTCGGTATAGAAGGCGGTCTAATATCAGCCATGTTCTACATAACGGAATTATAGTTGATAATGGGTATGTGGTGCCGTATAATAAGCGTTTATGCATCCGGTTTGATGCCCACATTAATGTTGAATATTGCGGATGCAACATGATACTAAATTACTTATTTAAGTGCATATCTAAAGGTGTAGATTGTGTTCGTCTCACTCTTTAAAAGTCAGAAGGTCATTGTGGTGGCTCCACATCTGTTGCACCTGTTGCTGTGAACGAGATAAAGTCATTTTTAGATGGCCGATACATATGCCCACATGAAGCAGCATGGAGGATCCTTAACTTTTCTATTCATGAACGTTTTCCAATAGTTCAAGTGCTTCCTGTTCACTTGGAAGGCATGCAGCCAACTATATTCAAGGAAAGTGCAAGATCAGATACATTGATTAATAATCTGGCCTTTGGAGTTACAATGTTGACTGAATGGTTACATAATAACCAAAAAGATTCAATAGGTGTCGGACTTACATATAATGAATACCTGAGTAAGTACAAGTGAGACACACGTAGGAGAGTTGTTTTATTTTTGAATTTTGCTTTCTCACCAAAAAGGATGTAAGTCTTTTGTAGATGTCAGAACTGTTCGCGGGAAAACGTACTCTACTTTCAAGATGCGTGTGAGGCATTAGGTTTGACAGGCGACAACAAGGAATATTTAACAGCCTTCCATGAAGCAACATTTTTAGCATCATCATCGGAACTATGATCCATGTTCTATCACCTACTAATATTCTGTGAAGTTGAATCTCCTGTGTTACTATGAGAATCAGCAAAGGATAAAATGGGTGACGACATTCATTATTCATACATGCAGACTTCCTCAACTTCTCAAATTATACTTGACACCAATATCATTGAGCAACAAGTCCTATTATAAATTCAAAAAACACTACTTGCATCAACACCATCCAAATCACTTGCAGAATTTGGGCCACCACTACCATCCTCTTCTGTTCTAGCTGTTCTAAAGAATTGGTTGTCAATGGAGGAAACAAATTATGACAAACAATCGTTGGCCTCCCAATACGCATACGTGGTCTCACAATTGAATCTACACCAACTCAAGGTTCATGAGTATGTTGTGAAAGCCACTGAAGACAAAAGACAAATACTCCTTTTTTTGATACGGTCACTGTGGTACTGGTAAAATGTTGTTGTGGACAACCATACTTGCATATCTAAGATCCATTAGAAAAATTGTCCTTGTTGTAGCCTCAGGCATTGCATCCTTATTATTACCATATGGTCGTACTGCACACTCAAGATTCGTCATCCCAATTGATCTAACTGATAAGTCGTCCTGTAATATTAAAAAAAGAACACAGCTTGTCGAACTGTTAAAAACAACATCCATGATAATTTGGGATGAGGCTCCGATGAGTGACAAACAATGCTTTGAATACCTTAATAAATCTCTACGTGATATCTTGGAAGATGACAATCATTTTTTTGGTGGGATGTCAATGTTGTTAGGTGGTGACTTCCGTCAAACACTTCTGATCCAACCTAAAAGCAGAAAATCACACATAATTGGCTTGACTCTCCCAAATTCATATTTGTGGTCAAGCTTTACAGTATTCAGATTGCATCACAATATGCGGTTGTCGGACATAGGAGCTTCTGTTGACTTTGCACGTCACACATCAGAATTTGCTTCATGATTACTAGACATAGATGATGGAAAGATCGGAACTCCAGACAAAGACGATCCAGATAGCACAAAGATCACACACATACCTGACATGTTTCTAATAAATTTAAAAGATCAGAGACTCGCATCACTTACTGATTTTGTGTATGGTTCTCAAATACTAACTAACGCATCCCCTCAAGAGTTGTCTGCTCGCGCAATTATTTGTCCAAAAAACAAGACTGCAGAACAACTCAATACTCTAATTTTGTCAAAAACACAAGGTCAAGAGGTAGTGTATAACATATATGATTCAATAAAATCACCCACTCGAGATGCAGTGGAACTGGATACACTTTATCCACAAGATTACCTAAATAACTTAGATTTCTCTGGTGTTCCCATACATAGACTTGTGTTAAAGTTAAACACACCTATCATGCTGCTAAGAAATATCAATCAAAGAGAAGGTATGTGCGATGGGACATGTTTGATCATTTCACAATTGCTATCGTCGGTCATTGAGGCATCCATACTAACAGGAACGTGCATAGGCAAGCGAGTGTACATTCCAAGAATCAAGTTTGTTCACAATAGTGCAGACCTACCATTCATTTTCACTAGAAAACAATTCCTAGTAAAAAATTTCTATGCAATGACCATAAACAAGAGTCAGGGTCAATCGCTAAAAAAAGTTGGTCTATTTCATGCAAACTCCGTTTTCACACATGGTCAACTATATGTTGCACTATTTAGAGCTACCTCAGCGACTCAAGTAAAATTCTATTACAACAAGAATAAGATTTACCAATGAATAGTACCAAGAACGTTGTCTTCAAATATTTGTTGGTGAAAGTTGATATGTGCGAGCTTTTATATCATATATATGTATTTGGAATTTGATCTATCATGACCCAATGTGTAAAATTGTTGTGTTACAGAACTTTCAAACCCCATGGACACCATATTATTGTGTTCACTTACTAATAAAAACTAATCAACGATTTTTTTATGCTAGCACCCAAGTGATGGAAGATATGGATAAAATATCCAACCTCTACTTTGGAGCACTGGGAAAACCACTCAAGATACGTGTGCTTCGAAGATGGACATCGAACTTCAGGAAAAACGATACATGGTTCATCATTGTGGACAAACATGTAATGATGAAATTGAATCACAAACTACCTCACTCATCCATATTTATGTGAACAACTTTCTTTCTTTTTTCGTTTCAACATAGAGATGCAATCCAGTTACTTGAACAAAAAAAGATGACACAACTATAGAGTCAAAACTGCTACTCAATGAATGTTATCGCATTACATATTACATATGTACAACTCCAGATAAATACCAAAAAATTCTAGATCACCCAGTTCAAATTAACATTGGGGAAGCATCAAGAATTAAACAAATATCTGAATGTTCATCCCTTCCAAAACTATGGTTTCGTTTCCAACCACGTGCTCACTTACAAACCATAGCTGACAAGAACATCGAACATCCAGGTATAGTCATTGCATGCACACACAAAGATTACCTTACATTGTAGAACATATGTACACAACTTCCCAAAATATATTCTCATTGCAATTAAAACTATGTTCAAATTTCATTGGGTTCCTAAAAAACATAAAGGAACGAATGAAGAAAAACAAGGAACCCTTCATAGCAATGACACTTGCGGATGCAAAGTAAGTAATACATATCATTAACAAATCTCATCCTACAAATGCGTAGGACTAATATTTTAATTCATCATCACCAATACAAGTGTTGAGGAGATCACAATGATTTTATGGAAAGAATGCATAGACTCACCTGCAAAGTTTGACCGGAATGTTATAATGTCTAATCCCATAACATTTATCATTGCTCTAACAAATGTCAAGGAAACATTGTATAACGGTTAGTTTTACAACATTATTTGTTATCAAATCACCTATCTAACACACTATACAATATTAACTAAATATGTATTCTAAACAGGAAGTTTAACCTTAACAAGTAGCAAGGCAACATACCTATACATCAATCCACCAATTTCTAAAATCGAAACTCTTCTTCAAAGGCAACTGACAATCTAATATACTGATAAATAGCATTAATACTCTATTCCACTAATGCACTTTTACTGCCAATATCCAAACTTTTTTTAACTTATATAACCAACTACAAGGTTTGGAACTAAATTCTATCCAATGCCAAGTCCCACTGCAATAACAACTATGCTACAACAATTCAAAAACTCAAGCTATTCCAACATTGTGGTAACTATTCACCTACATCCCCTATCTCCAAAAAAAAATAACACCAATAAAATTCGTTCAATATCTAATTAAAATATGTGCCAGGGGAAGAAATGTGTTGCAGAAGCTACAATAACAAACTTTACGTTCAAAGATTGTTGGTACCATGTTCCTTGCAATACCTGTGTATAATCAACACATAAAAAGGGAAATGGGTGGTTATGTATATCACATGGAACTATCAGTTATCCAAAACTTTTGTGAGTGACAAATTTGTGGCACCATACTCCAATTATTCATACCTACTAACAAATAATTTTTCATCTAATAACAATTACAAAGTTTCAGTTGTTGTCACCGACAACACAGACTCAACAACAATTTTTATTTCAGATGAAGCCACACAGACATTGACAAAAGCATCCTCAGAAAAACTGATCAACCACAAACCAAGTCAACCAAGGGATATCCTACCCCCAACATTAGAGAGATGCAAAGGATCAACAAGAAATTGGTTTATACAATGCACAAATTTATCAGCCACCAACAACATCCGCTTCATAATCACCTCAATAAGTGAAACTGAAAATCGAGAACCCATGGTTGTCATCCCCTTAAACACGCCAGCTACACCAATGATAACAGCAGAACACATTACAGTCAGAACAAAAAAGTCGGCACATGTTGCAACAACACTCAAATCTGAAAAACGGCTACCATCTGAACATACTGGTATATCACATAACTATACTATGTGGGTATCGAAATAATGCATAAAATTTTTACTGCTTTTACGGATGCCACTTATGAACAACAACGACTAACAAAAGTGAAACGCACAAGAAAAACCATGGTGATGGCAACAATCAACCCAACAACATAGCACGAACAACCCATCACCACATAACGTTATGAATAACAAAAGATAGAAGTACACGTTACAAAAAAAAATTCAAATATTCTTTTGAATCAATATATTGTACGTAGATGTTTAATACTACACATACCAAAATCACATTAATGGCAAAAAAACAAAAAAAAAAAAAAAAAAAAAAAAAAGCAATCACATAAACATAAATAAGAATTTACATCAATAATGGGACATAATATTTGACAATCCTAGGTTTCATCATATGTTCTCCGGAAAGAAACAGTATAGTCTTAACCACCAAGGTGACCTGTGGTTCACCGCAGGATCATTCACTAGCTAGTTTCAATTCATAAACCATAATCACATGTATCAAAAGTCGTATCATTAAAACATTAATAATATCAAAGTACAAAGCCATGGATCTCAAAATGCGAAATCATGTGTGTGTGTGTGATGCGCTGCTACCTTGCCAGCTCCTTCCCATTCGACGAAGAGGTACCTAAAACCCAAAACTGAAAACCATAAGCACAAATCTTAGTGAGTTCCCCCATCATACCACATACCATACATAACACATACTTCTAGGCATATCTAGGTGCCCGGCCAAACCTACTGAGCATACTGGGGTACTCAACCTACCCCTACTAGGCATACCGGGGTGCCTAACCTACCCCTGTCATACATATCGGGGTGTCCGACCTACCCCTCCAGTTTATCTCAACCGGTTATGGGGACTATGTCACCCTTACTACTACCATATAAAAACATAACATAATCATACTGTCAAACATATCGGGGTGTCCGACCTACCCCTTGGTCCTATCGACCGATATGGGGACTATTCCCCCTACTACCACTTTCACATAGCATTATATCATACTAGAACATAAAAAATAACAGATAGTGGCAAACCAGACAATTATCACAAAGATAATCGTTTCAACTATAATCAACTACTAGTGGGCCGACATTGGTGCCTTCGACCCACTTCTACTAGAAGGCAACTCACCTCAATGTCGTAAAGTGTTTGAACTGTCCTTGCTGTCGTAATCAACCCTTCTCAGATCCTACGCATAGCATTCTTCTTTAATTACCATTTCCCAGTCAACTTAGGTAAAATTCAAAGTCAAGGACAACACCTTGGTCAAAATCAACTCTAGGTCAAAGTCAACATCCAGTTGACTCAACTCACCGAGTTGGCCCCACAACTTGTCGAGTTCCAAAATAATGAAAACGCCAAGACTTCGACCCTAGTCGTTGAGCCTTACAAGAGCTCGTTGAGTTCTCATTTATACAAGGTTAGGACCTTCGACAACTGACTCGTCGAGTTCATCCTTGAACTCATCGAGTTCATCGTTATCCAAGTTGAGATGTTTAGTCCTTGACTTGCCGAG